TAACGCTAATTAATCCATTTTAACCCTTAGCTTTCTCCTCGATATCTAATCATTCTCTGGCGCGTAAATATACCCTGAATTGGGTTGGATCCTTGCTCTCGCGCAAGTAGTCCGCCATTCTGACTTGAACACGCGTGTTGCTTGCATTTTAGAAGAACCTTCAAGTCGAAGTATTTGCGGAAGATATTCAGCGTCGAGGTACCGTGCGATACGTAGTCTCTCGTACATATAGACAGAGAAGCTCGATGCCGTCCGGGCCCTGGACACGGACACGGCGGGTAGAGGTTCCTGGATGTTCCAGTCCACCGGAATTCTTCCGAGTCAACGTCTCGTCCACAATTCGAACCAATATCAGTACCATAAATGCGCTAATATGAATTTGCTCCCGTGGAGGCCGAACGCGATGGGCGCATGCGGTGAACAGATGAGGCGGCTTTAACAATGTAGCGTCTCAGAAAACGCCTTTCATCGTTCGGCTGCTCATCTCTCGCTGGGGGAATCGTCGATGGAGCCTGGAAGGAGAATTATTTATTTTGCACTGCGTGTGTTGAACTCAATATTCTGGCACCGGGAGTCCATGATCCTTTGACAATGTAAATTACAAGTGGAAGTCCCCCGGATAGGGCCGCAGATTCTGCTGCGGTTGAACCTCGCAAGCCATCACCTCTGGACGTCGTCGCTGTTCGACTCTTCTTTACTACGGCCGCCAGTCTGTTGCTTTCTCATCGATCTTGTCCACGCGCAAGCTTCTGCGTCGTTTCTCTCTCTCTCTCTCTCTCTCTCTCTCTGTCTCCGCGAGTTCTCTACGAGGATAAAATAAGAGGCGCGCGTCCTGCAAGCCATCTAGATCTTCCACTTGCTGCTTATCGCCGGCGCCCATTTTTTTCTCGCGTCGACCGGTGCCTATTAATTAGTCTCTCGTAGACAGACGCTTCAACAAAATGAGCTCGTGCCTCGCTTTGTTGAAGTCTGTTGGTTATCAGGGGGGGTCCGATCGGACTTCCAGCTTATTACCAATCTTTTGGCGGGCGAATCGCAGTGATTACCAATCTTTTATCAATCATTTGGCAAATACTCATAAAGTGACCTTCAAACTTTTTGAATAGCATAACATCTCGGCCAATTTGAAACATTCTGAAGAGACAGAACTCTTCCGAGCAAGGTAAAGTATGACTTTGCATCTTTGCCAGTTGTAAATACATGATTCCCAGCGCTGCAGAGTTGATTGGTAATAAGCGGAAACCCCGATCGGACCCCCTTTGTAACAACAGGACTACCTATTAATATATTTCAGAAGAACCTTCAAGTCGCAGTATTGTGCGGAGGATATCCAGCGTTGCGTGCCCGATGCTGACCTGAACGCACGCGCCCGGTCTGGGACCTTGCTCGCCCCTCTCGTTGTATAAAGGCGCGGTGCACCCCAGCTGTTGCGCTGCGCGAGGCGCGCGCATTGCACCTTCGCCAGGCGGGTTCCAGTTGCGCATGTCTGCGTCCCCGCGAGCTTCCTTGGCCACTGGCCTGAACGGGCGGATCACGGGCCGCGGCATCCACTGCGTCAATGCGCACAGTTTTGCGATCTATACAAGAAAAGACGCGGGTGTCTCTGGAGAGTGCTGTTTGGCTGCCAGAGATCCATTCGGCTGACAGCTCCGCCGCGAAGGTGAATTCTCCACCACAATGGCAGGGTTCTGCATATTTTGATTGTCGAGATGTTCACGTTGACTTTGGCCCTTGGTTGAATGCACTGTTGTTATTCATCTCCAACTTGGATCCTCGCATATTGATATTAGTGCAACATGCAGGCATTATTGTGTCCTTCGATGGGCCAGGGAAAGTACACCAGGCAGTTGGGATCATCATGTCAGTGCTCACCATTTACATCACCATTATATGTACGTGAACCAGCTTTAAATCGCTGGGCTCTCCGACATTCTAGCAGGCAGCCACAAGGCGAAAGGAGTTCAGATCGTATACGTGTTGTCCTGCGCCATGCGTCACAGAATTCAACGTGCATCCAGTTCAAGTGTGCGCAGTTTTTCTCCCGATTGGCGAATGCTCCAGCCATGTCTATATATGAATCAGCTCTCCTGGATTTTGTTTGTGACGAGCGGGCGTGTTTAAATTAAATGTTTGTACCTGGCGCGTAAGAGCAAGTTACCAAATCTCTCGTACATAGACAGACGGTACGACGCCTCGCATGCTGCGCCTGCAACTGGGAGCCGAGATACCAGCGGGGCACAGTCTGCGACACGACCCCTGGTACTCTACACCGCCCGTTATTGCCGTCCGCATCGATACTGCTCCCATGTCATGTTTGCTACCTAGTACGATACGAGGCGTCGTGCAGTATATTAGTAAGACCTTCGTGTATATGTATATTGGACTCCCTGCGCGTTTGCAACCGGCTTTCCCGAACCACCACCGAACCCGATTTTCCAAGGCTCAGACTCCTTAAGGATCTCGTCTGGCTTTCGAAAAGCTTGCAGAGTGCGGTCGCCACTACGACCGTGTGGTACGGAATCCTCTTTCCTTTCGGCTTAATTGTACTGCGGCCGTACGTTAACTTTGGTGGCCTTATCGATCTCGTCCACGCGCAAGCTTCTGCGTCGTTTTTTCTGGCGTCTGCGTCTCCGAGTTCTCTATGCGAAGAAGATCGAGAGATCGGGTCTGGCATGTCAGCTAGAATCTCGTTTGACGCTTATCGGAACAGCCAAATTTTCTCGCTTTGACCGGTGCCTAAAAGGGGGAGCGGAGGGCCATCCGGATCAAACATGCCGCGACGACAAACAACCGACGCTCCTCCATTATAAGCTTATCGTAGATCCGAAATGCTGTCCCCCCCCTCTGTCTGGTCCCCTGCTCTCCCCCATGCTTAGGCTCGCACGAACCGCTCTATCTAGGCCGCGGTTTTGCACACCCCGCGGCGTGCGCTACGCATCGCGCACGCCGCCCCGGACGGCGGGGAGGCGGGTAGCGCTGGCGTCGGGCGGGGTCGCGCTGGGGCTGGCGGCGCTCGCGACGGGGACGATGTACGCGGACGCGGAAGCTCACGGGACGGCGGCGCGCGGGGACGGGAGCTCGTTGGGCAGCCTGGTGCGCACGTATGTGGTGTACACGATGTGCTCGATCCCCGCGCTCGTCGACGGCGCGCCGTGGCTCCTGGCCGCGTGCAGCAGCGTCCCCGGGCTGCGGTGGGTCACCGAGGCGCTGGTGCGCGTCACGTTTTTCGACCAGGTGCGGAGCTGCGCTCGTTGCGCACGGTGCGCGGGCTGACCGCTAGCAGTTCGTCGGGGGCGACACGGCGGAGAAGACGATGCCGCTGCTGCGCTCCCTGCGCGCGGCCAACACGGGCACGCTCTTTGCGTACTCGGTCGAGGTGGACGAGGCCGAGGCGACGGCTGCGTCTAGCTCGGGATCTGCGCAGAGCAAGAGCCCGCACAAGGCGATCGTGGAGGAGATGCTGCGCTGCATCGACGTCGCCGCCGACTTTGAGGATGGCCTCGGTGCGAAGGAGACGGGGCGGCGGACCTGGGTCGCCGTGAAGATCGTGCGTCCCTTGTCCTTAGCTACGCGTACCGACTGACTTGTGGGACAGACCGCCCTCCTACCAGACGCGAGCGCGCTCATCCGCCTCTCGTCGCATATCCTCTCCACGCGCCCGCCCACGGGTGAGCCGCACGTCGTCTTCCCGGGCACGCCCGCCCCGTCCGACCTCGACGTCCTCTACGCCCCCACGGCGCCCCCCGGCGCGCTGTCCGCCACGGACATCACGACCCTCCGCGCGCTGCACGCGTCCCTCGACGCGATCTGCGCGCGCGCGCAGCAGCGCGGCGTGCGCATCATCATCGACGCCGAGTACTCGTGGTACCAGCCCGCGCTCGACGCCCTCACGCTCGCGCTCATGCGCCGCTTCAACGCCCTGTCCCCCGAGTCCGGGTCCGGCGCGGGGGCGACGCAGCCGCTCGTGTACGCGACGTTCCAGGCGTACCTCCGGCGCACGCCCGCGCACCTCGTGCAGTCGCTCCGCGCCGCGCAGGACGGCGGGTTCGCGCTCGGCGCGAAGCTCGTGCGCGGCGCGTACCACCCGCACGAGCGCGCCGCGCACGGCGCGCGCGGCTCGCTCTCCCTCTCGCGCGAGGACCGCGCGCCGGTGTGGGCGGAGAAGGCGCAGACGGACGCGGCGTACGACCTGTGCGCGGCGCTGCTGCTCGACGCGGCCGCCGTGGACCTCGCGCGCGCGCGGCGCAGGCGCGGGGGGGCGCAGGGCGTGGGGCTGCTGTTTGGGACGCACAACTGGGCGAGCGCGCGCGGGGTCCTCGCGGGGCTGGAGGCGCGCGGGCTTGCGGTGCGCACGGGGGAGGGGAGGCTGCGCGTGCCGGAGCAGGTGGGCGAGCGGGTGTGCTTTGGGCAGCTGTATGGTGCGCCTTCCTCCCTTCCCTTCTCCCCCCTCGTTGTTTCGGCGTCTGATCCTCATGCGCTGCAGGGATGTGCGACGACCTCACCCAGTACCTCGCCGCCAACACCGAGGCCGCTGCGCCCATGGTCATCAAGTGCGCTGCCTTCCTTCTGCCCCCTTTTCTCTTCCCCTCTTCCCGCACATCGCTCACCCCGCCTAGATACGTCCCCTACGGCGCCCTGTCCGAAGTCATGCCCTACCTCTCGCGGCGCGCGATCGAGAACAAGAGCGTCCTCGGCGGGGGGGCGGCCAGCGCCGAGCGCGCGCGCGCCGGGGCGCTCATTTGGGAGCGCGTTTTTGGGCGCGGGTAGGGGTTGGAGGCCGTTTTTGGGGGGTAAGACGAGAGCGAGGCAGAAGGCATTTTGATAGATACAGATACCAAGGCTGCGCAATTAATTTTCTTTCTTTTCTTTTCCTGTTCTGTTCTGTTCTCTTATCTTCCTTTCTTCGTTCAATGGAACAGGGGCGATTATCGCCTCGAGGTTATCCTTCCTTCGTCATTGCCGCACTCAGGTTTGGCTCATCTCACAGAGCGCCTACGAACGGCCTGGTGGTGTAGTGGTAATGCACCTGCTTTATGTTCGTTTATGAAGGCGGATGTTTAAGCGGGAGATCCCTTGTTCGACTCAAGGTCAGGCCATTTGCTTTGATTTCCGAAATCTTTTTAGAATTTTTTTTCTTCTTCTTCTTTCGTTGTCGTTTTCACCTGTGCCAATTAATCTGAGGCTTGACTCGGACGCCGACAAGAATCCGTTCTTCTACGTTCGGCACTGCGTTGGGTTCCTCGGTCAGGGTATGTATTTAGACGGTGCGCTCCCTTCGCCTTTCTACTTCGCACAAATTTAGCTTATTCTAAACATGTTGTAGGAACGGCCTGGTGGTGTAGCGGTAACACACCTGCTTTACGTGTGCCTTCAGCAGTGTTATGGCTGGAGATCCTTGTTCGACTCAAGGTCAGGTCATTATTTTGCAAGACTTTGATATTTTTTTTCCTTTTTCAGGCGTTTTTTTTTTGGCGTACTTGATCTGAACTCGGATTGTCTCCAGGGATCGGGACTCCCAACGCCTTGTCGACATCGATGTTCTGGCTTCCAATGGTTCCTCGGCCAGGCTACATATTCAGACGGTGTGTTTGTTCATCCCTTGTCTATTTCATCCAGGGTTCACATCTCAAACTAGTTGTAGGAATGGCTTGGTGGTGTAACGGTAACACGCCTGCTTTATCTTCGACAGGTGAATGGTAAGCGGGAGATCCTTGTTCAATTCGAGGTCAGGCCATCATTTTGCAAGACTTCGCTATTTTTCCCTTTTCAGACTTTTTTTTTTGGCGTACTCTGAATTCGGATGCCTCCAGGAATCAATAGGGGCTGGTCGTTCGAACGTCGATGTTCTCGCCACTTTTTCGGCGGTGCGTTGGGTTCCTCGGCCAGATATATTCAGACGGTGTGTTTGTTCATCCCTTGTCTATTTCACCCAAGCTTCACTCATCTTAAACCAATCTCAAACTAGTTGTAGGGACGGCCTGGTGGTGTAGTGGTCAACACACTTGCTTTATCTTCGACAAGTGAATGGTAAGCAGGAGATCCCTTGTTCGACTCAAGGTCAGACCATCATTTTGTAAGACTTGTCATTTTTCAGACGTTTTTTTCGGCGTACTTGATCCGAATTCGGATTGTCTCCAGGAATCAAGAGGGGCTGGTCGTTCGAACGCTGATGTTCTCGCCACTCGTTCAGCGGCGTTGGGTTCCTCGGTCGGGTTATTTATACGGTGCGCTTCTTTCTCGGGCATCCCATCCCATCTTTCTGTTTCAACCGAACTTCACTGATCTCAAACTAGCTGTAGGAACGGCCTGGTGGTGTAATGGTAACACACCTGCTTTGTATGTTGTGATCCGTTTCAAAGTTTCTGTGGGAGATCCTTGTTCAATTTGAGGTCAGGCCATCAAAGACTTGATATTTTTTTTTTCCTTTTCCAGACGTTTTTTTTTTTGGCGTACTTGATCTGAACTCGGACGCCTCCAGGAATCGGGGCCGGTGTTGTCGATAGTCTTTGTCGCTGCCTTGGGTTCCTCGGGATTATATAAACGGTGCGCTTATTTCTTAGCCATTCCATCTTTTCTGTTTCAATTGAACTTCACTCATCTCAAACTAATTGCAGAAACGGCCTGGTGGTGTAGTGGTAACACCCCTGCTTTATCTTCGACAGGTGAATGGTAAGCGGGAGATCCCTTGTTCGATTCGAGGTCAGGCCATGTAGGGTATGTAAACATGTTTTTTTTTTCTCCTTTTACGCCTTTTACGTTTTTTAGATGTCTTTTTAGCTCCAATTACTAAGCACTTCATCAGAGCTCGGACGCTTCCAGGAATCGGGACTCTCAACACACTTGTTCGGCGGTGCATTGGGTTCCTCGGTGCGCTCAAGGTGCGCTCCCTTCTTCGCCTTTCTATTTCACCCGACTTCACTGATCTCAAACAAGCTCCAGAAATGGCTTGATGGTGTAGTGGTAACACACCTGCTTTACGTTGCCGAGAACTGAACCAATGTTTGAGCAGAAGATCCTTGTTCAATTCAAGGTCAGGCCATCATTTTGCAAGACTTGATATTTTTTTTTTCCTTTTCAGATGTTTTTTTTTTTTTTGGCGTACTTGATCTGAACTCGGATCGTCTCCAGGAATCAATAGGGGCTGGTCGTTCGAACGCTGATCTCGACACTTGTTCGGCGGTGCATTGCGTTCCTCGGGATCATTTAGATAGTGCGCTTCTTTCTCCATACCATCCCCATCTTTTCTGTTTCAATTGAACGTCACTGATCTCAAACTAGTCGCAAGCGTGGCCCGGCGGTGTAATGGTAACACACTTGCTTTATGTTGCCTAGCAGGATCTAGATTTAAGCAGAAGATCCTTGTTCGATTCGAGGTCAGGCCGTCATTTTGCAAGACTTGAATTTTTTTTTTCCTTTTTCAGACGTTTTTTTTGGCGTACTTGATCTGAACTCGGATTGTCTCCAGGAATCGATCGGGGCTGGTCGTTTGAATGCTGAGGTTGTCGACACTTGTTCGGCGGTGCGTTGGGCTCGGTCTTTTTTCTCCTATAAATCGTTCGCGGTCTTTTTCACCATCTGCACTCGGACGCCTCCAGGAAGCGGGCTGCTCAAATGCCGTTCGGCGGCGCGTTGGCAGCTCGGGGAGTTTCTCGTTTCGACGTGCTCATCCTTTCGTTTTCATTCCTCGTATATGTATATGTGTTGCTTTGCTTTACAGTTCACACTAAGCGCCGTATCTTGACAGATCGGAAACACGCAGCAACAGTTGTAGCGGCCTCCAAGGCTCGAAACTGTAACATCATGGTTCGTGCTGCGATTCCAACGTCTTTTTGACTCGATAGGAAACAGGCAACAGGCAACAGGGCGTTGGCAGCTCAGAATCAGACATTTCAAAGCGCAACAGATAGAAAACAAAAGCTACTGCGTAAAAGGATTATTTTGAGGAATAAATATCAGTACGTGCTAAACTGTCCACTATTTGCTCAGCTCTCTTCATCATCACAACCGCTCAAGCGCTCAAGCCCCGAGTTTGAAGCCTCCCCAGTTCAAGTGGGTGAAAACACGCTCCGGGTCGTACGCGGCGCGGATCTCCCGCATCCGCTGAACGTTATTCATAGGGAAGCCCAAGAAGGGATTCTGAGACTCGCCGGCGTCGCCCATGTAGAGGAACTCCGAGGCGAGGCCCATCTCTTGGTTGATCCTGTGGTGAAACTCCATGAACTTAGTCGCCCAGTTGGTCATGCGCAGGTCGTCGGCCGCGTTCGCCCAGCTGTTGGAGAGTTGCCAAACTGCGATGGTGGTCAGTATATGGTTAACCGTCTAAAGATTGCGGTCACGTACTGATGAAAGATTTGGTATCGTCCAGGCCCCAGACGTTGCCAACCCCGTTGTGCTTGGCCACGGCGGCGGCGCTTTTGGGCATGGTGTTCAGGACAAAGGTGGAATCCAGGCCCTCGACGTCGGCGACATCGTCCAAGGCCGCAGTCCAAGCCTGGTAGATGGCGAAGATGCGCGCTGCGTCGGGGACGATGGTGCGGTGGGCGAACTGGACGCGGAACATCTGGTTCGGGCTGTCCAAGTTGTTGTGCCACCCGGTCGGTGTGGTAACGTTGTCGAACTGAGAGACGGGTCCGATGGCGGTGTAGTTGGCGAAGCGCGAGGGCGGCGACTCGGTGCCCTCCTGGACGCCCAGGACCATCGGCGTCGCGACCTTGGTAGCGAGGTCATACGCGATGGTGAGGACGGCGCCCGCGGCCACGTCGGGCGTGCTGTTCTCGGTGAAATCGACCGTCGCTTGCACCCAGGCCTCGACCGCGCTCGTGTTGAACGTCAAGATCGTCGTGCTGAGCTTGGGGATGGCGTACGCCTTGAACGTGAAGCGCGTCACCACGCCGAAGTTGTTGGCGCCGCCCTTCAGCGCCCAGAAGAGGTCCCGGTTCGTCGACTTGTTGGCCACCACCTGCGTCCCGTTGCCGAGCACCACGTCGTACTGGACGATGTTGTCCATCACGTACCCGTACTTGTTGATGAAGTAGTGGAAGCCGCCAATCAGGCTGAGGCCGGGCACGCCGATAGTTTTCAGTCGACCGCCAAGCGTATACAGGCCGAAGGGCTCAAGCGCAGCGTACACATCGATCCAGCGATTGCCGGGACTGACGGTGAACGTGCTCTCATTGCCATTGGCATGGACGGTGATGTTGTTCAGGTTGTTCAAGGCAAGCAGAACGCCGTTGTCGATGTTGTTAGAGCCAGGGAACTAAAACTCTCGTTAGATTCGAAGCACAGGAATTATTCTGACCGCAGAACACGCACATTCATGTGTCCGCCACCGCGAACCGCGAACTCGGCTTGACATGACGAGAAAATTCCAACGGCAGTAGCGACCTCGTCTGCGCCGTTGGGAAGGAAAATGCAGGTCGGCGCAAGGTCAGCCCTAATATCCCAATAATCCACGTTCTGCGTCATGTAGTCGGAGGAAGAATTGAATAGCACCGCGTCGCCGTAGAGGGAGGCCAATTGGGAACAGGCGCCGCTCACCCCAGCGCAGGTCGATGCGTTCTGCGCTGAAACGCCCAGAGGCCAATGGGCGATGGCGCCGAGCAGTGCTGCCAGCGAAAGGAGGTGAAAGGACATCATTTGAAGAAGCAGTGGACAATGCCATGGCAAAGGGAAGGAACTTTGTTTAAATAGCAGCGGTCGCCGGTGAGAAGAGTAACGAGTGAAATTCAGCGTTTAGCCCATGCTCGTCCGGCTGATCGCAGTGATCGGATGTATATCCAGCGAGAAATAAGCTCGCCAAGAGCTCGCTTCAACCCAAAGAATCCAGCGAGGTGGTGCGGTTACAGTTTTGGGGCGTCAGATTTCCTTTAAAGGGTTCAACCCAACATCCACGTACTTTGAAGTTCACACGGACAATATGGGTTGTTCGCATGAATATAGTGGTAACATGCTATAAACTCCAGAGTAATCGTGCGCACTGAATCGCCCTCAAATAGGTCCGTATTTGTATCCAGGTGATTATCCCAACGAGGGTGTGCTGTATCGTTTTTCTGTCTGTTTCTTTTCGACCTAGTGTACGAGGGTTGGGTTCGTAACGTTCGCTTGCATAAAAATCCCGCGAAAGAGATGCGAAAGACTGCGCAAAAGACTGCGCAAAAGAAACGTATGTCAGACAGGGAGTGTCATCGAGGCCGCAAGCCGAGTGGCTGTGCGGCATTCTGCTTCCCAATGCAAATGCAAATGCAAATGCCCACATTGGAGGTAGGTAGGTGAGGAATATGGCCATATGGAGGCGCCATACCACTATTAGCTTCGTTCACACGCCTACTCCTTGCCTAAAATCGGGAGGAAATGCTGCATACACCGCCAAAGTGCCCACATGTTGCCTGCACCTGAAGCTCCCAGGTGGCAGCCACAGTTTCGGGAACCTGTGTCCAACTTGCCTCTAGCTGTCTGTCACCTGAGCATCACAGCCTGAATTTTCACCTGGGTGTCGGCTGGGCGGTCACATCTCTCCCACATTTCCCAATAACCTGGGACCATATAGAATGCAGTTGCATCAATAATAATGCTGAAACGAGAATTGCATAGAATATTTCCTGACTTCATGTCTGAGCATTTCGAGGCTCAGGGCAAGTAGCTGGTGTCTAATTCATTGAACTCCAGACGGAGAGTTAAGCGAGCGGAACATTGATATATTGGCCTACTAAATGGTCGGTCCTTCTATATTCCTATGTGCCATCCAATCATCACATTCGAAGAACGCTGCTAATCCTCGCTGCTGGATAGTGCACGGCCGGTTGTTCGAAGAATACTGAGTGGCAGAAGACTCAAAGAAGACTCAGATGATTATTTATTTGATCGGCCGCATCTTGCGATTCTTGCCCCAAATACAAAATTTTGGGTCGGATTGTTGAAGCCTAGAGATGTAAAGACTGGGAGCTGAGAAGGAGCAAGCATGAAGTTGTCGTTTTGCACGTTTCGAGAATCAGATCCGGACAAGGCCCGTGCACGATGTTTGTTCATGTGTTTCGTCACGTGCATGTTGGTCGACTCCGAGTCCTCTTCTCCTTTCTTCCCTCACTCACCCGCTCTGCGCCCGTATGGCCCGGCCTGCTTGCCCACTGATTTGCCGCCCTCCACTCCTACCGTCCTGGTACCCGTGCACGCTGGTACTCTTGGCGCCATTCTCGCCTACGACTCTCGTTTCAGCTGCCTGCCAGTGTATCCCCGGGCGTCCTCCAGCCCCTGCAAATGTGAACCCATACACTCAAGACATCTCAAGCTAACCAAAACTTAGGGAGGATTCAAAATTCAAAGTTGCTGATCACACCAAAGCCATTGGTCAAGTCTACGCGACTCAAACCTGAAGATGAGTACATCTCGCGTTTCGATTGCTTGACCCCCTCAAACTCTCAAACTTTCAATCCTCAATATGTTCTCTCTACAATTCAAATGAGTGGGCATTCCTAGGACTTGTCTCTTCAATGCTTTCCCAATCCAAATCCACGAGCAATCCCAAGTCAATTATTTCTCGGTTTCAAGATTCCGAAGTTATACAGCTGACTGCAAGCCCCTCTAGTCAAAATATTATCTATGATACTCAACTTTGGTTCGCGCTGGCAGAACTCTTGCCCTGGGTGCAACATACGCTTCCGCCGTGTTTCTATTTTCCATTCAAACATGTGGCAAACGATCCGCTCGGCCCTGCACGATCTTTGTATGTCCCTCTCCATCTCGGTTTTGCATAGTTGTGGTCTGCATGTTATTGTGCAGTAGTTGTTCCCAATATATCATTATTCTTGATATCATTTGTATGCCTGAAAGCGGAGAAGAAAAAAGTACGGAGTATCTTGCCTGTAACATCAGCTATATTCCAGGCATGCAACCAGCTGGTGGCCAGCTTGACCTGGCTCCATGCTGGACCCATAGGCGATTGAACCTGGAATACGCCTGACAGGCCCCTGGCCACCACCTTTGTTCGATATCTGGTCCACATGCTCCTGGCAGGTGGAGACCAGGTGTCCGACCATTGGCGGTGTAAGTCGAACCGCCGGAGGCAGCAGAGCGGGTGTATGTGCGAGCGAGTCGGCAACAAGCCGGCTCGAAAGTCGAAATACTCGGAGAGCGGGAGTGGACGACGAGGGAGAGGACTGCGAGAACGACAGCTAAAGCGAGCGATGAGATGGGGGTGCAAAAGTGTTGATTCATGGCAGTAGTGCAGCTTGTGTACAGAGCAGGAAAGGAAATGGAAATCTCACTACTAGAATATCCTACGAGTCATTCCGAAAGACTTCGAGCACTAGAAACCACAATAGTCCCAGTCAGATGCACCGAGTTTGTAGATGGCCCCTGATACAGTCGCATCTGGCGTGGGTCTCTTCAATTCAACGGTGTCGGAGAGGGCAAAGGCCCGGTAGCCACGAGAACAAGATGGGGAAGGAGCTTAGAGCAAGTGTGGAGAAGATTGTTGATACGGCGGAAAAGGCGCGAGCGAGCGGTAGGCGGATCAGCGACGACGGCGACGACATGGCGGTAAGAGGCAAGACGCGTTGTTAGGTTCGGAAGGTGTTGCCAAGTCGGATCACGGAGCGATTCCGGCATCAGCGCTTCGAGCTCTCAAATTCGCCAAATGCGTGCGAGTTGCATTGAATCCTCCATCCTTGCTGCCCCCTCCCACAGACTACTTCTGCAGGGGAGTGTGAGTCGACCTTCCCAGGCGATCTTATCTTGTCTGCAGATTATTGTCCCGACGCCTTGGTAACCTCTTGGACCTGTGGACGGTACGGAATAATACGTATTATAACGTAGGGAGCTTCGGAATTCTGGGCTTAAAACACTGTGTCTTAGGAGCTCAGCCACTTATGCCTCATCATTTCGTGCTCTGATCTTTGCCTCAATACGATCTTTAGGCGGAAAGCAAGGGGACCTTTTAAATGTTCAATGTTATTGATTGAATTACCATCGTCCTCTGGTTCAGGACCAGCTGTAATGTGAAGTCAATGGAAACAAAATGAGATTTAAAAAACCCCCGAAGGAACGAGTCTTCCTTCGGAGGAGTTGAAGCACAGTATTGCAGGAGGGACTGTACTTCACGCGGTCGAGGGGCACAGCCCCAGGCCCGGCATCACCAGGAGGAATCGAGCCTCCGACCTCCGCGTCTCTGAAGATGAGTCCAGGGCGGGCGTTCTACCACTGAGCTATAGCGAGCACAGTGATAGACCAAATCTCACGAATATAATATACAAAATAAATATACGTATGCAAGTGCGGCCGAGATGGAATAATAAAGGCGAGGACGGAAGATTTTCCAGTCGCTATTCGGTCGCTAGTAGGGAATATGAATTAGGATAGACAGTCCTGCCTGAGTTCAACACATCACCGTCATCAGTTGCGGAATCAAAACTCGGCATCAAATTGACGCGTCGGTGGCAGTGCAGCGAATCACGTCTGAGCTCACTCTCCTTTGCACCACCTCCACGCCCGTCCGCAGACGCGTCGAAACCCTCCAAAACCTCCTTCCACACCATCCCTCGCACGCGCCTACCATGAAGAAGTCCACAAAGTCCAAAAATCTCCCGCAAAGGCCATCAGTGCCGCCGAGGCCTCGGTCGACGGTGGCGAATACGACCCTCCACACTGGCACTAGGGTTCTTGCCTGAATCAGTTTGGACTTGGATAACTTCTGCGCCTACTGAGGATGAAGGAGGGTCGATGGAAAGCGTGCGATAGAACGACAACTACCACAAATGGGCGCGTTGCTTGTTCCTCATAATGCTCGACGATTTGCCCGGTAAACCCATGGGATATTCAAAGTTAAGAGTCTTCCGGCACACGCCAACTAGTATTTACTAACTCATGACGACTTGCCTGACGGAGCGGAATGCCGTCGTCGCTCATGAGATCCTCAAGAAGGTGGCGGAGACCATCAATCGACGCTGCCTGAAAAAGCAAGTAGCTCGAGTGAATGGCAGGTTCTATGCTTTCATCGTGGCTTATTACTAGGTCCCAGTTGGTAACTGCATGGACACACTTGTCAAATGCTTTCGTCGCGTTTTTCAACTAGCGCAGAGCCGCCTATATGGTTATGTATGTATGCACGTTCCATTGTTTTATGTGGGAACGAGATACCCACAAATCTTGCAGCGAGAATCAAAAGACGAAGCAGGCGCTTCGTCGGCTCTCAAAGCATGAAACGACACCCAACAGGTATGTGCCTCTAGCATCTATTATCTACCCATGATTTCATTTACACTTTAAGCACAGTTCTCCATGGCCAATTTTCACCAACCGCCCGTGAGGTTCAAAAACTCAACGAGTCTCCGCCCCAGGCCAGCGTAAGTGGTTCCCCTTTCGATTTGAACAGCATCACTGAGCCCGATGTCGGTTCGAATCTTGAGAATCTGACTCGGACGAGAGCTACGGGGATTCGGAGGTGTCTAACCAGCAGGGAGGGGTGAGCCCAAGAATTCTCAAGGCCAGGTCACTCGGTCCTGATCTCTTGTACAGGTGTGCTCCTCTCAATAGTACAAAGCGCTCCGCTCAGCAGTACAGAGCGCCCTGCCCTGTTCAACTGACTGACTTCTACAGGAGAAAATTAATATTGGTGAGCGCCGGCTGGTCTTCCTGCATTCGAGATGTCATCGTCCCGGCAGTTATAACAGTCGCCAGAAAGAACCTGCTTCGGACGCCGAAGCTTCGACCCTCCAGTCGCGAATCTCCCCGTCAACCTTCCGCCCGGTCTGTGGTCGCCGCGGGCAAAGTACGAACGGTACATACGATCCCACGACCTGCCATAATTGTCTCGCTTTGGTGGCCCGTAAGTTACGCCCGGCACGCCGAGTACAGCCAAGAGAAACGAGCGAGGTCGTTCTGTGAGGGTTGGCACTCATGTCGCGCGCGCTCATGCCGCGGCCGCGCCAATATCGAAGGATGCGTCGACTCGGTAGGACAGTGAGTTACCGCCACATGCAAGCCCGGCCGAGGCGCGGAGTTGCCGACCCGGGACGCTCGGGTGATGGGTCACTGGGGCACATGTTCAAGCTCAGGCCGGCGCTGATTCACGATCGTCCCCTTCACTACTCCGCGGGATCCGCTTTGAGCCCGCGAGCGTCGTAATAACTTCAATAAGGGCGCTAGCGCGGGGGCCCAAAAAAGATAGCTCCAAGGATGACCATGACGGGGGGTTTTGGCTGTAAATAGTCAGCGCCTCGAGCGCTAGCAGGGCATTATGTCCGCCCGCGCTCTACATCTTCAACTTGTCTTCACCGCTGGAATACAGCTGCCGGGCGCGCGGCTCTTGAGCCTCGTGTGTCCTCCAAGTCTAAGTATACATCGAACTGGAATGAAATTAAAGGCGCCGCGTGCGCAAGCGTTGTACGTCCAATTCAAATCGGGTAGATGAGCTGTAGCTATGGCGCCCGTGAAGTGAAGTGGGAAGTGGAGCGGTGATCTCAGTGGCGCTACTTTGGTACTTACATGCTGTGAAATTGATGAGAATGACGAGTCAAATTTGTGTGGGAATGAGGATTCGTAGGAAAGTCGATTTTTTTTCCTCTCAAGGCGGGAAGAGGAGGCGGTATGTGCAGGAACGTACCATGGGTGCAAGAAAAAAGCATACTGTACAAGGCGCCCGTGGGCACGCCGTGGGTCCAAAGAGGGATATCTGTGGCGTGGAGCCGTAAGCTCAGAGGCGCTGGGTTAGACGCTGGACGACGATTCCTTCAGAGGTTATATGCATGAATGAAATACAGTACAATTGCATGATGATGTGTAGATCGGCTCCCTTCTTACAGATTGCAGAATATATCGCCCCCAAACTGCTGTCGTGGCGCTCGTGGTTATTCGGAACTAGAGTCACGTTTTTCACAGCCAGTGCGCCTCGCGCAGCAGACCCCGCACAGCCGAGGTATCGGGCTTGAGCTCGCCGAGGAGCGGGGAGAAGTACTTGCGCAGCTTATGCCCGAAGCTGTCCTGGTAGAGGACGTTCCAGTATGTTAGGTTCTGTGCCACTTTAATTTCTTTCTCAAAAAAAAAATTGAGTGGGTATACTGACGTCGCTGGAGCCGAGCTTGGGGACAGAGCGCGGGAATATGCGGCCCTTGATCCACTTGTCGTGGTTCCGGATCCAGACACGGTCGTTCGGCTGCGGGGCGGAGTCAGCCACTGTCAGGCACATCCGTCAGAGGGGGGAGGGCGGCATTATTTACCTGGAAGGTGTACGCCCAGGGGTCGTCGAGGTGGCGCGGGTGCCCTAATGCGCTGTTAACGTTCTCGTCGTCGTCGGCGGTGGCATCAGAGTCCATGGCGTCGTCGTCGTCAAAGGCAGGCTCCGGGGCTGTGGCGCGCCAAGCTTTAGCTTTGGACGGACCTGGGGCCGGGAGTGCGGAGGAACGAGTACGGCGTGGGGATGTACGGGTGGGCATGATTATGACGTCGTCAAGTGTTCGTAGCCAAAGCCAAAAGAATTTCAGAAGAAAGAAAAATCGGTGGGGTGGGTGGCACGAGGGGAGACGGAGACAGAAAGATGATTGTCGATCGGCTTTATATGTTGCTGTGCTGTCAAATAGACGGCCCAAAGCAAAGCGCGGGAGTGTGATGGTGGGTGGCACGGAAGAAAGCGCGGGGCTCTGCTCTTATAGCCACGTCACACGCGGTTAAATTTAGGGTGCAACCGGCCTTTCTTTGTTGGGAGACAAGCCATCACCCGAGAACAATGGCGCCGGCACTTGGGGGTGCTTTGTTCTGTGGCCACCCAGTGGCACCCCCGGAGGAAATACAAGTGTCTGGCTACGAGAGGACAACAGCAGTAGGCTGTAAGAAAACTTATAACCATCTTAATGCAGAACAATCTAGAGAGTTCCATCTATCCATCCGATGATCAAGATTGACGCGGCGGCGTTTTGCTCGGACGCAGATCATCAGTCCCAAATCCGTCTCCTGCTTTAACGCCTGCAGTATCGGGTAGAATCAGTATTCACTCCTCCAGAATCCGCGTCTGAGCGCTCGATATAGCGGCAGCCAGCCTGCAACGGCGTGGCCGGGAACGTGGAAATGGGCGTGGAGCTGTACAGTTGACGTAACGGTTACGCCCGGGCCCGCTCCCGGAACCATCAGGATCATGATGACTGTCGGCCGATGCCGTGTTGACTCAACCCGACTGACTGACTGACTGCCTGACTGACGACTGACAAAGCGAATGCTACGATTATTCAGTCCACAAATCAGACTTGGACTCGGACTCGGACTCGCAGTGGATTTTTTGTTCGCGAAAACATTATTTAATATTGTTCAACATCCGCTGATCACTCAACGATCACTGCCTTGTTGCAGTTCGGAGTTTCATCCGCATCGCGGTTGAGTCCACGGCTGGTTCGGCATGTTCGGGCTCTGATGCGCACGCATCTCCTCGCCGTCGGACCCGCCGGGCGAGGTGCGCGTCCATGCCGAGAGATTTTATCCGCAGAGCCGCAGTTCCGTGCGCAGTCCGCTCAGTCACGGCGCGGGGCGATGTCAAAAACGGGGAGCGAGGGTGTTTGACCAAGCATTTGACAAATATTTACAATCTTCGACAGCACTGGATTTTCGCCTATGCAGCTGAACCTCGCTGGTCAAAAATGGGCTCGCTCAGATGCATGTACAATACATGATGCATCCGGTAAGTTATGACCTGCGTTCGACTCATTTTACGATGTCCCCGCAGTGGCGCAGTACCCAAAGCACTGTACATGTATATAAAGCATCGACTGCGCCGCGCGTGCCGCCGGTGCTTGCCAACTTTTCTTGAACGCAACTCTGGATTTTCGCACTTGTGCCTACGCCGTTGAACCTCGGTCGACAAAATATGGAGTCGTGCTTATACATCCGGTATCTTGTTAGAGATATAAGCTCAGTTGGGCACGTAGAGGTGAACAACTATATATTTAGTGCCTGTTAGAGATATAAGCTAGGTATGAATGTAAGTAAAATATAGAAGAATAAATAAGTAGAAGAGACGAACCTCAGTTGGGCACGTAGAGGTGAACAACTAAGGAGCGTCTCCGTAGATATGTAGTCGATCGTAAAGTGAAACGGGGTTGTTACAAATTGGGGGGGATTGGTCTACGCAGTCGGGCGTAGGCCCGACTGCCGGCGCTATGGCTTGCCGAGCCACTACTTCGACATATCTGACCTGCGTTCGACTCATCTTACGAGGCCATTGCCCTCCATAG